TGTGGAAACTTGAAACAACACATTTCTAAGTTGACTCTAGTATGGAGTCAGTTGGTGGAGGAATCTTGAGTTTCACTGTGAATACCAATCTACTCTGTTATTATTTTTTGTGTTACTGTGGGATTGACCACAGGACTTCACACATCTTTGCTTAGCATGTTCGCTAGCACTCAGCCATATCCCAACACTTTTTATAGAAAATTTAATACTTTCTGCAAAAAACGTATCTTCCAACCATTTCCACAGAGCTTTATGGGTACATGGTAATTTACATTTCCTAGTATGTCATGTTTCAAATATAAAGTGTTCCCCACAGAGTTACGTGCTGAAGCCTAGGTCCCTAGCTGGTGACATCTATTTTGGAGGTGGTAGGAACTTTAGGAGATGAGGTGTAGTTAGGAGAAGTAGGACATTGAGTCTGTGTTTCCTGTGGTGCCTTTCTATATTGCTTTCTCTACTTCCTGTGTACCAGGAGGCCAACAGGCCCACCCACGCATTTCTGTTGTCATCACGGAAACCTCTGAAATCATGAGCCAAAATATTTCCTTCCTGCTCAGCATTCACTTATGTCAGGTATATTGTCATAAAACAAAAGCCAAACATATCACATCTATTCTTATACTGTATTATATAAATATTTTATCTTTTTATTAAAACCATTAGGTGACTTCATAGTAGTCTCTGAAATCATGGTCTTCCATGTTTTTATTATACTATGTTTCTTTACTTCATAGTGTCTGCCATGATTTGAGTATAAAGCTGTGATGTTTATTTAGTTAGGTTATTTATTTATTTGTTTGTTTAAGTGTTTCAAGACAGGACTTCTCTGTGTATCCCGGGCTGTCCTGGAACTTGCTTTGTAGACCAGGCTGGCCTCGAACTCAGAGATCTGCCTGCCTCCCAATGCTGTGATTAAAGGTGTGCACCACCATGGCCAGAAATTCAGTTAGGTCTTTCAAATGCATTTTTTGACCCCTGGTATTTTCAGTGTATGGTGGGCTTATTGACTCAACCCATTGTGAGTGAAGGGACACTACACTGGAAACAGCTGTACATTTCCACCACTGACATCAGTGGCTGAGGGCTGTCCAGATGTGCTTTGCAGAACAACAGGAAACAAAACTGTCTACCACAGCACCAGCGCAAAGGAAGCAGGTGGCGACAAAGAGAAGTTTGCACTCTCTTGAGGAATGGGTGATGGGACGTGTCAGTCCATTCTCACCTGTCCAGACCATCACCACAGCTGAGTGACGTCTGTGTGGTGCGTACAGTGGTAATGGAGTCCACACGTGAGAACACCTGTAACCGGTTAGATCTGGACTACTCAGGAAGTGAGCCCAGGAAACTATAAACACCACAAAGAGACAAAAGAAACCTTACAGGGGAACAAAAGACAGAATAAAATCCTCAAATTTAACCTTCTTGTTGCCAGCTCAAAGTGGCTGAGATAAAGCCAGCAAAACCCGCTGAGTTTTAGCTAAGATTGAAGGTGTTTTAAATTTTTTCTCACAATTCAAGTCTAGTTAAGAATATTATCTGTTCACATAAAGGACACAAGACTCTTTAGAGAAAATCTAAGAATTCAGTCTCCACAAACTGACCTCTATGTCACCCAGCAAGCAATCCAAAACTACACAGGCAACTGGAAAGGTCGTTGAGCAGGCAGACACTTGCCAGTCTCCGGTGACTCTCAACCTTCCTAAAGCTGTGACCATTTAACACAGTTCTTAACGTATGGTGACCTCCAACCATAAAGTCATTTTCATTGCTATTTCATAACTGCAATTTTGCTATTGTTATGAATTGTAATGTAAATATATTTGAAGATAGAGGTTTACCAAAGAGGTCAAGACCCACAGATTGAGAACCACTGTCATCCTCAACTTGAGTTTGATCCTCAGAACCTATGAAAATATGGAGGGAGAGAGCTACACAAATCACATGATATGTAAAGGAAAAAGACAAACACAACAATAGCCAGGAAGCATAGTCAACAGAAAAGCAAGGTTCATCCCTAGATGAACCCGGGATTGGACCTAACAGGTGAGGGTTTTGAGCTGGCTGCTCTAACTCCCTCCATGAAATAACACAAAACCACTCTGTCAATAATTCAGAATACCAGCAGTGTGTCAGGGAGTCTCAACCAAGATGTAAGCAGTGTAGAAAACAGGAACATAAATTGAAGACTAAGAAAATACAGGATCTAGAATACAACTTACTTACGACCCCCCAAACCAGAGAGCTATGGCAGAAGGAGGAGTATGAGAACTTGAGGGTAGATGACTGAAAACACCCAAGGTGAAGAACAGAGCTGGGGAGAAGGGGGCGGAGGAAGTGAAGTAAAACAGCAGAAGGTTGGCGAGCTGCTGGGCCGCAGCAGTGGCTAAGGTGTGTGTGTCTGGAATACAAGAAAAAGATGGGGTGCTGAGGAGAAGTGAAGAAACTATGAAAACTTTGAACAAAAGACAAAAGAATCATAGATACAAAGCAAAAATAATAATAATAAAGTACCCACACCAAGACACACTTATCAAAAGTTGCTATTATCCCAAATGCCCCCAATTTTTATGTTAAGCTTATATTAGGCGGTGACCCTTAAACACGTGACTAAGTATGGAGCAAAGCCCTCAGGGATGAGACAGTAGCCCTCATAAAAGGACTCAAGGATGCAGGTTAGTCCCCTCAGTCTCTTCTGTGTCACCATGCAGATGCCCCACTCTGCCCTTCTGCCTTCCACCTTGTGAAGATGCCACACCCACACGGATACCATTCTGGAACCTAGGCCAGGTAACCCCTAGACTCAGAACTTGCTGGGACCTTCATCTTGTATTTCTCAGCTTCTACAAGCACAGGAGGAAACTAAACCCCAGTTTTTATAAATTACCCAGCCAGTGGTATCTTGTTACAGCAGAACATGCAGATTAGGAAAACAGCAATCTAACGACAGTAAACGAACCTTGAAAACACTGAGAAGAAAATGACATATCTCATAGGCTTTAGCAGCTGAACTTCATTGGCAAACCAAGAGCTGGGCAAGAGAAGGAGGGAGGGTGAGTGGAAAGGTGTAAAAGAAAAGAGAAGTAATACATTTTGCAAAGCCCAGAAACTAAGGAAGCACAAGTGAAAAGAAAAACAAGGCTCTTCAGGCAACTGAAAACTAATCCCACCAGGAAGCATGGACTTTGGGCACTGGGGGCACGGCGTAGCGGGAACAGCAGCAGCGCTTGCTACGCAGCATGAGGACCCGAGCATGGATCTCAGGAACCATGTTAAAAGCTGTGGCTTTTTACTGGCGTGCACCTGTAACCCGGGGGCCACGGGGGCCAGAAACAGGAGGGTCGCTGGGGCTTGTTGACTGTGAGCCTAGCTCCAGGTTCAGCAAGAGACTCTGTTTCAGAGGGATAAATGGAGCAGGGCACACCGATGTCCCTCTGACTCCTGCACACAGAATGTATACATCACACACATGTATATGCCCCACACATACACGAGAAAAGTAAAAGCATGCAATTTAAAGAAGTGATAAACAGGACGAATATGCACATATATATAAATAAATAATGTCACACATTAATAATAATTACAGAGTGTCATGGGATGTGGTTGTTTGAATGAAAATTGCCTCATAGGCTCAAAGGGAGCAGGACTATTTGAAAGAATTAGGACTTATCACCCTAATAAAGTCACTGGGGTGACTTTGGGGTTTCAAATGCTCAAGCCAGGCCCAATATCTTCCTCATCCTACTGCCTACAGATCCAGATGTAAAACTCTCAGCTACTCCTCTCTTCCTGCCTACAGATCCAGATGTAAAACTCTCAGCTACTCCTCTCTTCCTGCCTTCAGATCCAGAAGTAGAACTCTCAGTTACCATGTCTGTCTGTACGCCACCATGCTCCCTGCCATGAGAACGGTGTACTAAACCTCTGAAAATATATGCTTTCTAAGAATTGCCAAGGTCATTGTTTCTCTTCACAACAATAGAACCCTGACTAAGACACATGAAAAATTAGGGTGGACAAGATGGCCCAATGAGCATAGTCATTTGCTGCCAAGTCTGATAACCTGATTTTGACCCCCGGAGTCATGTGATAGAAGGAGAGAACCAACTCTAGCAAAAGTTGTCTTCTGACTCCATGTGTACACCAAGGCATGAGTGTCCACAGCCTTGCCAGACTCAAAATAATTGTATTTTAAACCGTGTATTGTTGCTAAAATTCCTTCACAGAGAGAGACAAAAACAACATCACCTCCTCTTCCTAAGGGCTCAATGACAAGTTGAGGTGTAATTCCTCCAGTCTTCACTCCTTTGAGAGCATAAGTGAGGGGTTCCTTACAGGGGTGTGTATATTTCCACCTCAAAAGGCTTCACCAGAAAGTGTTCATCCAGCAGTGTGGCTGTAGCACCCCCTCCCTTCTGGGGTCCATACACTCTAGTCCTTCCCTAGGCCATATGCAGTTGAGGCATATAACACGTGGGAGGGAGGGATACTCAGGTGAGTCTCCAGACCCTCCCCACTCCTGTGAGGGGATTTAAACAGTCAATGGGCGCAGCTGAGATGATCTGCTCCAAGGGAGCACAACTCAATGCTCCAAGATTTGTTTGGCTCTGAGGTTGTTCACAACACGAATGTAAAATTGAGTTACTTGGCCATGGTAACACTAAGTAATGGCATTGGTGTTCTGGATTAGCATTCTTTCAGAATCTGTGATCTAAGTTAGCATTCTTTTAGAAGCCAAAAGAAGTCATGATTTGCATAAGTTAGTAAATGAAATGTCAAATAATGTAAGGCAAACTGAAAGAGGGAAATTGGCTAAGTTTCCGACAACACAAAAAGAATTAGTTAAATACTTTTTACTAACAAATAATTCAAGATTCCCAATTTGTAAACCATCTGTGTGGTTATTATACTGGTGTGTCCAATTGCTGGAATCTTTTTATTTTGTCATTTTGATTCAGAGTCATGTTTATAAAAGAGCAAATTAACAGACAGACACAAAGTGAACATCAACCTCAATATTTTATTTGAATATTTTGAAGTTTACTGTTGGAACAAAGAGTTGAGGAGGAGCATTGTTTGCAATCACTGAAATTGACTCAGCTCATATGAATCCCATTTGTGAGTTGTAAGGTTGGAAGTCGAATGTCTGAGTCAGTGAAATTTTTGACAAGAAACCACAAATCTCATCCATCCTTGTATGTGTTTCCCACGCTCGGCCACTCCCACCCCCCATTTCCGTGCTGGGATCTCATCCCTCCTATGCCATCCTTTCCTGCCCCCTTGAGCCATCCTCACCTGTGTACATCCATGAAGGAATTCATTGCTATGGCCAATTCGGGTTCACTTACTTTGGGTGTTTTGGGGACCCTTGTCAGCCCAAGAACTTGCTCAAACCCTGCAAAGGTCCTACCAAAAACCTTGGAAGCCAGTTGAAGAATGGGCTGCCTTTCTGTTATTCTGATATACCATAGCCAAAGAGGAAGCTGGGGTTGAGTTGTTTTCAGGTGATTAAGAAGCTGTGGCCCCTGTGCAGCCAGTAACAACCTTAGCCTAAATTTATAGTGAATGAAATAAGGCATCCATCTGATTTACAGAGCCAAAGCTCTACACAATGGAGGGCAAAGAACGGGCCTCCTGGTGATGGTCAGTGCTTGCTTGGTTTGAACTTCAGGGCCACGCTGTTGATGCAAAACCTTTGGCCAGTGGGCTCTGGTCCATCAGGAAACACATGGCCGAGGTGAGCTTCACACTGCAGGGGATAGACACCCTTGTCACTCTCCAAGAAAGCAGCTCCACAAGGCCCACCCTACCCCAGAGCCTGGCAGCTGGGAAGCACGGTCTTTTGTATTAAAATTCGGTTCAAAAGTGGCAAATAGATATACACAGAGAGCTGTGGCTCTAAGCAGTCCCACTTTCCCAGTGAGCATGTGGGCTAATGATTAAGCTTAGGCCATGACTTGCTCATCTATCAGATGGGGACCATAACCATACCTACACAGCAGAGCCATTCTGAAGACAAATGAGCACAAGGCAGGTAAGGATTAATATAATCTGGGTGAGCACTCAACAATCACTTTCCTTTCCTGCAGATGAAACTTAACCCTTTTCATCCATTAGCCTCTGCCAGCTTATAAATCCCATGCATCAGGAAACATGAGCGCCAAAGAACATAAAAATGAAACTCCTTCAGCTGGCAAGATGGCTCAGCAGATAACATTTGAGGTGCACATCTGACAAGCTGAGTTGATCCACAGAACCCGCAGAGGAAAGGAGAAAAACAACAGCAAGAATAATAAAATACAAAGCCAATTTTTCTGTCTAGACCTAAGCTCCCCCTCCTCAAGCTCCAAGGAGTAAGGTGCTAATGAATCTTCCTACTGGTGGCATGCTGCCAATCAGGAAGGAGGTAGAGAGAAGCCACCTTCATCTTCAGTGCCTCATGGGATGGGAGGGAGGGATCACCACAGCTGAGGGTATACGTCTGGGCCATTTTTATGACAAAGCACACATCACCTGCTTGCAGACCACCTCCATGCGAGTCCGTCCTGAGGAAGTGTCCAGTCGCCTCAGGATCCCTGTGTGACTCTCGTCGGAGCCTTCTGTGCCATGAGCCTCATAAAATGATGGCCAGCCAGTGCCAGAGCAGAACTTCTTCTCAGAACTGGGAGACAGTGCAGACACATCGGTTAGAGGACAGTCAGACAGACACAGCAGTTAGAGGGCAGTCAGACAGACACAGCGGTTAGAGGACAGTCAGACACAGAGGATAGAGGACAGTCAGACAGACACAGCGGTTAGAGGACAGTCAGACACAGAGGATAGAGGACAGTCAGACACAGCAGTTAGAGGACAGTCAGACACAGCGGTTAGAGGACAGTCAGACACAGAGGATAGAGGACAGTCAGACAGACACAGTGGTTAGAGGACAGTCAGACAGACACAGTGGTTAGAGGACAGTCAGACACAGAGGATAGAGGACAGTCAGACAGACACAGCGGTTAGAGGACAGTCAGACACAGAGGATAGAGGACAGTCAGTCAGACACAGCGGTTAGAGGACAGTCAGACAGACACAGCGGTTAGAGGACAGTCAGACACAGTGGTTAGAGGACAGTCAGACACAGAGGATAGAGGACAGTCAGACACAGCGGTTAGAGGACAGTCAGACACAGTGGTTAGAGGACAGTCAGACACAGAGGATAGAGGACAGTCAGACACAGTGATAGAGGACAGTCAGACAGATACAGTGGTTAGAGGACAGTCAGACAGATACAGCGGTTAGAGGACAGTCAGACACAGCGGTTAGAGGACAGTCAGACACAGCGGTTAGAGGACAGTCAGTCAGACATGGTGGTTAGAGGACATTACAGAATCACAGCCATTAGACACATGGCTGTTGGCATATCAGGAGCTTCTCAAGACTCCATCCCTCTGTTTTGACCAGGACTAGAATCCTACTTCCCTCTGTCAGATCCCATGAACAGTCACTCCCGGGGAATTGTTCCTGCTGCCCCTTTGCTGTCCAGGACATTGGCTACAGGAAAAGGATGTCTTGTTCCTTGGATGCTAATATCTTCTTTCTCTGCATCTGACCTAAAAGAACTGAAACCACTGAGGCTATGTGAACCCCTTTTGCATATGAGGAACCACAGATTAAATCCGAGCACTGCAAAGGCAGAAAAGGAAGAAATGAAGAAGGAAGAGCAGCGTTTGGGGAGGTCTGCATGATATAGGCACACTGGCGTAACATCCAAAGAAACAGCAGCTGTAACAATGGCAAATTCTATTATCGGGACACAGGCTGCCTGTCCTGGGGAATGAAAGCTCTGGTGCCACCTCTTAGAGGTGTGAAGGTACTCAGCTCTCAGTAGCAAGCTACTCAGTCTCGGGGGGGGACATGGGTTCCTTACCCGGGACAGTAATACCTGCCTTGCAAGGACACTTTGAGGATTTAAGGACACTCCTCGGTGGAGCCAGGTGGAAAGCGGGGAGTGTGGCAGGTGCTTGGGAGCACTCATTATGATTATTGTCATTAATCAATTAGCCTGGCACTCTGACTAATCACTGGATAAAGCCCGATGCTTGGGGTGGCCTCCTGGGGACAAAGGATGCTAATCACTGGAGTGGGCCAAGAGGCTGAAAAGTGGAGGCCTGCTCCCAGAACACTTCCCCCTCAGGCAGATTGCAGCTCAGTGGCAGAGCATTTGCTCTGTACACACAAGGTCCTGGGTTTGATTCCCAGAATTATCTCTCAGACAGACCTCACACAGGAAAAGTGCCTACAACCCACATCGGGAAAAGAAACTTAAAATTACAGGCGGCAGGAGATGATCCTCTCCACCTAAGGGAGAAATGGCTTGAAGCTAAGCCCTGCCTAAAACTGGAAAAATGAGTGATGAAGAATCAAACGTCTAGCTCAGCTGGACACGCAGCCTCATCGAGAACAGGACCACAGGACAGGAGTGCAAACCTGTGGTCTCAGGGCTCCTCTGTACCCCCAAATCTTTAAGGGTTACAAATACCAACATTTAGCAAGTGTGATCCATGACTTGGAATTTTAAAACATGTAAGTATTGTAATACTTTTTTGTGACAGTTTCACAAGTAACCCAAGATGACTTTGAGCTCATGATCTTCTTGCCTCAGCTTCCCAAGGGCTGGGGCTATAAGCATGTATCACCATACATGATTTCTGTTCATCTTAATACATAATAAACTCTTTATACATTAACAACATTTTGTGGCAGTTTTATTTTCTAGAATAAACCACATACTTCATGGAAGGATTGTGTTATTTCATAATTTTCCAAATATTTTTATTGTCTAGTTGAAAAAACATTTAAATGAACTGGTATCTGTCTCTGCATTCACTCTACCCAAGACTGTAGAGGGGACTGGAGTGCGGTGTGGCTCAGTAGAGGGTACCCTTGCACACAGAAGGTCTGGGCCTCAAGCTGTAGTACCTCGTTGCTACCCCAGAAGTATCTCAGGAAGCCTCGGGGATGCCTTTTGAGAAATCTCTGAAGTAAGAGCCTGACTTCCAAAAGGTGTTGGTAGGAAACCACACTCAATACATCTGGAACCTTAAAGCATTATTTGATCCCCTGGTGCCACCAAGTCATGGAGCGTGGGGCAACAGTGACATAATGATCTCCTAAGGTAGCTAGGAAGAATTACTGAGGTGTCTGGGCACATGACATGTTTAGAATAGGGCCTAACACATGCTACATACTGTCACTCTTTTAACTAGCTTTTGTTATTATTGCCAGTAGCAGATGCTTGTGGAATATGAGTGACCCTGAGTCCAGCTAGAAGCAGCTGCACATTTGAGTTGGTTTCTTTGAGATTACTGCTAAAGATAGTACTGGAGAGCCTCCCTAGTGTGCACAGGGTAGAGTTTGATCCCTAGCCTAGGGGAGAGGACACACACACACACACACACACACACACACATACAGAGAGAGAGAGAGTGAGAGAGAGAGAGAGAGAGAGAGAGAGAGAGAGAGAGAAAGAGAAGGAGGGAGAGAGGGAAGGAGGGAGGGAGGGAAGGAGGGAGGGAGGGAAGGAGGGCAGGAGGGGGAGAGAGGAAGGGAGGGAGGGGGAGAGAAGGAGAGAGAGGGATTATATATATATATATATTATATATATATAATATATATATATATATATGTAGAGAGAGAGAGAACGAATTCACCTGGATACTTTCCAGGAAAAACCCCTCAGCACCTCCTGTCTCTTCCCACCCTCGGCGTTATATGCACTACTAACTATTAAAGGGATTTTGATAGAGAATTATGAATGCAATAAAGCTTTTTAAAAATCGACAAATGACTCTAAGGCTAATAAAAAGTCATTAACTGGCTTTATGGGAAACAATAAACCTTTACTGATGGAATTGGCAGAAATGTGGAGATTTTACCAAGTAATATAAGATGGTCTGAGACCAACAGTGTAAGTATGAAGGCAGACTAGAAAGTTCAGGATACAGATTTAATGGATTAGCAGGTTACATGGCTCACACCTCACATTGTACACTCTGAGACTGCTCTCACCTCTTTCTTTCTTCCTCCCTCTCTCCCTCCCTCCCTCCCTCCCTCCCTCCCTCTCTCCCTCCCTCCCTCCCTCCCTTCCTTCCTTCCTTCCTTCCTCTTTCTTTTGGCATCTGCTTTTTGAGTTTGCTCTCCTATGTTTATTTTCTCCTCATTTCTGGATATTCCCTCATAAGCAATAGCAGAAGCAGTGGATAATCTGTGATAATTCCAAATGTAACAGTAGAAGCATTCCATCCATTTCTGAACAGGGATACATGAAGTTTTAACAATATTACCATGTTACTTGGGACATACAGGACATCAGGGTGCAATACATAAAACACCAACTAGTAGCAGGCTCCCCAAATGCTCCTAATTTAAGAAAGATTTATGGCCATAAGATACATAATCTTAAAATAGATTTTCTTTAGATAAGGTCTCACTGTGTAATCCAGATTGGCAACTCTCACTCTAGCTCCTTCTGCCTCAGCCTCCTGGTCACTTGAACTAAAGATATGCCCCACCAGTCCTGGCAACAACTCCTTAGAAAAGTTTATGGGGGGAAAGAAAAGGAGGTAGAGGAGGCAGTGTTACCAGAGTCTAAGGCTAACAAGATGATTCTGGATCTATAGGGGACAGGTAACATGCTGGAGAGTATTGTTGGCTTGGTAACCCGCAACTCGATTCTCAGAATAGTGGGGGCAAAGCTCCACAAATAGGTTCCACTCACTGCAACAAGGCAGAACCTTGGAGGGACAATGGGAGCCCTGCCAGGCACGGCTGGGAACCAGGCTCTGGAAAGGGAGTTTGCGGGGTAACCTGGCCAGGTGTACCTTTAGAGGCCTGTAGTATCTACCTAGGGACCTCTAGCTATGATTTTGAGAGCTAGCACCAGAAGGTGAAGACACGTTTTTACCCTGTCTGAGTGGTTTACAGAGACCTAGGTAATAAAGTATGGCCTAGCGGAAGGCTGGTAGCCGTGGGATCCTGGGTAAGCTAGTTAACCTTGCAAGGCTTCGGTTCCTCACATGAAAAGAGACCACCAGGGAGAGCCCCTGAGAGCCCTGCTGAAGTGAGCTAACTGTCTGGCAGGTGGTGCCCTCGGTGCTGACACACTTCCAGTTCCTGTGGAACGTGAGCTCAGTGCTAGCACTTAACAGATGTATGGCTCCTGGGGTCTGAACATGGTTTCAATTAAGTTGAAAGTTCCTTGCCATGTGGCAGTGTTGAGAGGTGATGGGGCCTTAAGAGGGAATACTGGAGTTCTCACAGGCCGGGGTCAATTAACAAGAGAGCCAGTCGGTAAAACAAGGCCACACTTGCTTTTATCTCTGTGTGCTTTCTCAGCCTTTGACCGTCTGTCTTGAATAGCAAGAAGCCCTCACTAGAACCCACAAGGATGTGGCACCACCCTCTCAGACTTCTCAGCCTCCTGAGGCCTGGCCCCCAAAACACTTCTCAATAAGGCAACACCGGTATCAGGTGTTCTGTCTCAGCAAACCAAAGGAAACTGACACATAGGCATGGAGCATCTAAGACTCAAAATGTCAGTTTCCATATCTGTTTATTACATGGACACAAACAGCTCCTCACTGCAGGTGACAGCTTGCATGGTACTGAACCCAGTGCTTA